ACAGGGCTGTGCCACCCACCAGCCCATCCACCTCCTGCCCTGTGGCCCGCCCCCAGCCATCCCTGGGCCCAGCGGGGTGGTCATGCCCTGCTGCGCTGCGTCAGACAGTTATCACACCCCATCACTAGCAGGAGGCACCCGCGGGGCCTGAGCATGGCTCTGGGCAGACCCACGCCAACCCCCCCCCCCCTTTGGTTGGGGGTCCTGGGCAGCGCCAACCCAGCCCCCTCCTTGCAGGGCAGGCGTCTGGACTGAGCCTCCCACCTGGCCAAGGTTGGCACATCCAGGCCTTCCCCGGCAGCTCCTTCTAGTCTGTCGCCTGCCACCCCGCCCTGCAGCACCGGCCCACCCAGGCCTGCTCTGCCCTCCCTGGCTAAAGGGGCGCCCGGCTCCTCCTCTCTCCAGGGGGCCCACACCCCCTTGCCCTGGGAGGAAGCTGGCTGCCTCCAGCATGGCTAGACAGCGCTGGGCAGAGGGCAGCCCATGGGGTGAGGGGTTGGCAGCCCTGCCAGGTTTCCAGGCCCCGGGGGTGGGAAGCCCCTGCAAACTCTTTAGTACAGCCACAGCTTCAAGCACCTCTGCAAGGGGCTGTAGCTCAAACAGCGGGGGCCTGGCCCCAATTAACACCTCCGGCTGAGCCTCCCGCTGGTGATGGGCTGGGGGGTGCACACAGAGCCCCTGCCATGGGGGTGGGGACTGGGGGACCTGGCACGTGGGGAACACAGAACCCCTCGTGGAAGGGGGAGATGTGGGGAGTTGCTGACAGCTCCTGCTAGAGAGCAGGGTACGCACAGAGATGGGGGGGCAGTGAGCTCTCCCCGCTAACAGACTTCTCCAGCGTCTTTCATCCTGCAGGATCCCCAAGGGCCCCAGAGCAGGAACACGCCACCCACTGCTGAAATGCGACCACTTCTGGGGCAGGCCGTGGCTGCCACTTTTAACACCGCTACGCAGCTTAGGCCAGGAAGTCATGCCGTGCTCCATCGCCGGGGGGCAATGGCCCGAGTCAGAGCGTGGCCCGGACACCAGGGCTCACCCCCGCCCCCCATGCAAGCGAGTGGGAGTGGTCTTGAACCTTGCACCAGCTGCTGCCCTGGACCAGGTAGCAATCCTGCTTTGCCTTCCTCCCGCCAGGTCTCCTGGCTCCTCAGGCCAGCTGGGGAGGAGGGGGAGGAAGAGAACTTATGCACTAGCTAATCCTCACCCGGACCATGTGGGGCAGCCCAGCCCCAGGGGGGTAAAACCAGCCTTACCAGTGCAGGGCCCCATGCTCTGAGCCATCTCCTCCCAGCACACACTGCTTCCCTGCCCCCAAGCCCTGGGGTTTATAAGCCAGCTGGCCCACTCACAGGGCCAGCCCCTTAACCCTTCCCTGGCTGGGCCTGTGCGGACCAGCCTGGGGCAGGGCGGATTTGGAGTTCAGCTGGGCAGGATGCCAGGCATGAGGCAGGAGGGGGGCACCCAGCTCACGTGGGGACACCGATCTCCCAGCGTTGGCATCTCTGCCCCTCCTGTGGGCGGGTGGAGGAAGCCACCAACTCCCTTGCGCCCAGATTCCGGCTCTGGGGCTCCTTGTCCCCACCGGGGCCGGGCCGAGGGGTTTCCCCACCCCACACATGCGGGGTCCTCAAGGGCTTAGTCGGCCGCGTCCCCAGCACTGGCTCTGGATGGACGCGCCCGGCCGCAGCTCGCTGGGCCGGGACCTGCTGGCTAGTCCCTGTTCGGTGGTGTTAAAGAGCAGCCAGTGGCCATGGGGGGGGACACTGAGATCTCGTTCCCCACCCCTCTGCCCGAGCGCGTGCCATCCTGGCACCCTGCCGCCCTCGGCGCAGCCCCATTTGCTGGGGGGTTGATTTTGCCCAAGGTTACTAAGGGATCAGTGTCTCTGCAAAGTGGAATTTCCTGTGCCGGTCGCCTCCCTGGGCTCCTTGCTCGGCTGATTAAACCCAGCTGTTCCTGCCCGACAGCGGCCCGGGGAGAGCGGCAGAGAAATTGAGAGGTGCCACCTCACGCAGCGATTCAGCAGCAGAGCCAGGAAGAGAACCCAGGAGTCCTGCCTCCCCAAAGAACAAAGCGCCATCATTTTTTTGGTGGCTGCTAACCCCGGCTGTGAAGGCGCTCCTCTCCAGAGCAGGGCGCAGTCTAATGCCAACGCCCAGCTGAAGGCCTCACAAGCGCAGACCTTAATGAAGCTGGCGGCGGGGAGGTGCCCCAGCTCCACACCACCGTGACTGACCCCACATTGCTATGAGCTGGCGTTGTAACAGCTTGAGCTAACCCCCCTCGCCCCCCCCCATCCCAGCTCCTCACTGGCTCCATCACACCCAGCCGTGGGGCGCTACTCAGGAGGTGGCGGGTCTAGGGCCAGCTGCTGTCAGGCAGGTTGCTAGGGTCGGCGAGTGGGAGGGCTCTGATCACAAGATGCCCCCTCATCAGGGTCAGACTCAAAGGGGGGGCAGGACCTGTGCCCTACACACAACCCCACAGGGCTGGCTTACAACCAACCCCCCCCAGCAGCTGCTGTCACAACCCCAAGGACGGGCCTATCTGGGCCAATGCATGATCCCCAGGCAAAGCTGGAGGTGTGGCTCCCCTCCCCACCATGGGGATGGCTTGGGGGACCACAGAGTACGGGGGTCTTCCCCCAGGGAAGGATCCAGCGCGCCCAGCTGACATCTGGGCAGTGTCCCCCCACAGAGGAGGCTGTTCTTTTGAATGGTGCTGCTGTGAGCTGCTGGCTGGAAAGCTCCCCTCAGCCAAAGGCAGGGGCTTTCCCGTGCCAGCATTGGCCCAAAGGGTGGTGGGCCGGGAGAGGGGAAGGAGGCATTTCTTGAGCCTGGTTTCGGCCTGGCCAACCCTTAGCGTTCAAAGATCACGAGGCTGGTTTAAAACCGTCAGCCTCTGAAAACTCCCCTTGTGCCGGAGGGGGCCGATGGCTGCCGGCCGCGGGAGTCTTGGACCCAAAGCCCAACATAGCCGTCAGGAAAGCCCCAGGGCGGTCAAGCACCCTGCTCATCAGCAGACAGCGCCTCAAGCCCCTTCATGGGGACAGACCAGCTGCAGGCGCTGGCCGGGCCGCCCGCGGGAACAGACTGCAGGCATGTCCGCGCGGCTCTGGGGCCGCTCCCTGGAGGGCAGTTGCAGGCTGTGGGGGTTGGGGTGGCAGCTGTGAGCATGTCCCCGATGGGAAACAGGGCCATGGCTTTTTGGGCACAGGGCTGGTGGGAGGGGCAGGCATGGGGGTTTCTTAGCCAGGGACTGGCCAGCTGCTGTTCGCTTGTCCGGAGAAGCAGGCCAGGGTGCACTATCCGAGTTTACCCCAAGAACACCCTGATTCATATGGTCGCTGTCTCAGCCTAACCGAAGCAACCCAGTGAACCTCCAGATTTTGGCCTCCCGGACGGGAGAAAAGGGGCACCCCTAATACATTCGAGGGGTGTTTTCTTTGCCTTTTGGGTTTCAATCGCACTTGGGTCCTGTTTTCGGTGAGCGTCTCTCCTAGTCACAGGACTCCTAGAGCTGGGGCTTTAGGAGAAGCACCGAAAATCATGAGCATTGGCAACGCTGCTTTGGTGAACCTTTGTGCACTAGGAGCTGAGCGGAGGACACTACCCATCGCATGAGGGCAGCCCGCCAGTCAGGTGGTAACAGCTCCCAGCCATTCCAGAGACGACGCCCAACCCAATCTTGTGCATGGAGCTCCCAGCAGCTGACGGGCAATTGGGCAGGTATCTGAATATTAGATCCTGGCCCCCTCTCCTGACCCAAACCCTCACACCTGGAACCCGCCTCAGCATCAGAGCAGAACCGTTCACTTTGGGCTGGGTTCAGCCTGTGAGATCAAAGAGGCCAGATGCCACGGTGACGGGCCCGGTCTCAGAATCTGAATAGGAGGGAGGCCCCAGCCGGTGGCCAGATCCTCAGCTGGTGCTAATCAGCACAATTCCAGCGAGGACAATGCAGCTGAGCCAGTCTCCACTGCTGTCGTTAACCCTTGAACCTACTGAGGGCACTTAGAAATTACAGTGCTGGGGGCTCATACCAGTAGCTAACAGCCACATACTGCCCTCTTATACTGTAGCAGAGATGGTCCACTGGACCCTCATGGGGTGACCCCGGGGCTGTCCCAGTGCAATGGCCAGAGAGCGCTCTCGAGGCCAAATGGGTTCCCTGGTTTGAATCCGTAGGGTCTGCAGTGCCCTAGTGAACGGTGCCCCTTTACCCTCGCAGCTCTGCACCCCACCCCAGCAGTGCCACACACTAGCAGAGAATGGACCCCAGAGACCAGACTCACACCACACTGGCTCATTCAGACAGATCCAGGTTTATTGAGCAGCAAGGGGCAGACGCAACCAGGCGCACGGTGCTGTACGCTGCCGCTATGACTGTCCATGGTGGAATGTCACTGAGGACGAGCCAGGCCGCTGGGCAGCCGGGTTGGTACATAGGGTTTAGATCGAGCTGTCTTGGAGACGAGGTGCTTCCGTTTTGCAGGGCTCCAGTCCTGCCCCTTCCCAGGGGATCAGCCACCGATTCAGCCCCGGCCACGCCGATTCCTCCCTCCCCTTCCCATCCCAGGAACCAGGCACCGAGGCTGGCCAACGATCTGTGCAGGAGCAGGGCCAAAGGACACAAGTCCCCACAGACCACCTCTTGGCACACACACCGCCCTGGGTCTGCGCTGCGCTCCCCGAGCCATGCTGACCGGGGGCTTTCCCTGGCACGGCTGGGGAATGGGCAAGGCCCCACAATGCTGGGGTGCAGGGCCCAGCAGCAGCCTTACCAACCCCACAGCAACGGCCTCGGATGGCTACAGCAGCGCCTGGGGCCACTGCTGTCGGATCATCAGCCGGCTCGCTCTGCATTTCTACCACGCTGTCCCAATGCCAGAGCGGCGCCCCCCGCACCTCCCAACAGCAGGGAGGGAGAAATTACCCTTGCTTTATGGAGGGGAAACTGAGGCACAGAGCAGGGCGGTGACTTGCCCAAGGTTAGCCAGTGAGTCAGTGGCAGAGCTGGGAATAGGCCCTAGGCGTCCTGACTTCCAGTCCCCTCCCAGAGCTGGGAACAGAGAGCACAATCTGCTGCTGCTATCACTGGCCCAGGCACCCTCCCACTGAAATATTTTCCACACAAGGGATGTTCTGTACACGCCGCCGCCTCCCCACCCCCCAATTCCCATGCACTGGGCCAGGCATAGCCAGGTCTAGAATGGCTCGGCAGCATGGCAGGCCAGCAGGGGACAGCCTGAGCCACGCAGACTCTGCGACATTATTGCCCCAGGCGAGGCGCCACCCAGCCCTTCCCCTCCACTCATCTGGGGCAGCACATCCCCTGGGGCCAGTCAGCACCAGGGCCAGCTGCAGCTCACAGCAATCCACATCAGCTGGGCAGGGTCTGGGGGTGCCAGCGAGGGACCCCTTGGAGAGCGCAACTTTCCCCTGCGACTGTATGGCGAGGCAGGCGGGAGGGCTCAGCCCAGGAGGGTGATGCGGCTGTGGGAGCCCCATCGCCTGGGCCATTTAAAGCTAGAGCAGGCGGGTGCACAGAGACCACTGGAGTGGGCAGCCTGGCAGCCCCTCACAGGCCTGGCACAAGTGCTGGAGGGGGCCTGTCCTGCCCTGGCGAGGCAGAGGAACCACCTCTGTCACTAACCTCCATGCCACAAAGGCAGCATGTGAGATACCATGGCCTGAACGCCAGCTCTCCGACCCCAGGGCTGCGGGCCGTGTGCTCTGGGGCGCCCGTTCCATGCAGAGGGAGAGGCTGGGGGCAAGGGGGCGGACGCTGCTTGATGCTGCAAAGGAGGATTACGGGAGGATGCACGGGGCATCCACAGCTCCCATCCCCCTCTAGGGGCTGGCCCACAGCCTAAGAGCCAGCTTGTTTGCTCTGCCAGAGCGTCTCAGGCTGAGTGGTGGGGAGAGGAAGATCCACCCACCCTGAGAGCTCGCCCACAGCTGGGAGCGGTGGAGCCGCAGGGGTGTTTGCCCAGCAGATCTGCCTGCATAGGCCCCCACTGCTCTCGTTACAAGGTGATGGGTGGGGGTGGGGTGGGGGAAATGCTTGTTCGGGAGCCGCCTGCTCCCAGCCACAGCAGGGCTTCGAGGCGGCTTCATGGGTGGTTCTTCCTCCCCCCCGCCCTGAATACCAGGGCAGCCTGGTAACGGAGCGAAGGCCAAAGTCAATTAGCCAGGGAGAGCTGGTGCCAAACTCCCATGGCGTGAGAGCCTACAAAGCCTCCCGAGGAGGAGAGCAGGCCGGGGCTCTGCCAGGCTGTGGGAACGTTGTCCCGAGGGACTCAGCGCTAGCCCCAGGGCTTGGGTCCCTTCCAGCCGCACTGGCAGACCACGCTGGCTGGGCAGGGCGGACGGCGGGACAGGCCTGGTCTCTCTCTCAGTGGCGGTGATGTTTAGGAGAAGACGCAGTAACTCGCACTGCCTAGAGGGCTGGCCAGGTACCACTGGAGCCAGGTGTGTGTGCGTTGCCTTAGCGACGCAGTCTCTCTCTCTCTCGCCAGGACGCTCGGGGACATCTGCCTGTGGCCATTCCGGAGCCGACTGTCCCTGCGTTGGAAGTGACGGTCGTCGCCGGCCGTTCCCAAGCCGCGCTGGAGGCCCGGGTGCCGAGTGCTCTTGTTACTGAACCACAGTCATTTTGCACCGGGCGGCAGCTCTGCAGGGGTGACGCCGCAGCCGAGCGGGGACGGACGGAGGAGGCTGTGGAGCTCAGCTGGGCGCTGGCCTCTCTCGGGACAGCCGAGCGCAGGCCCAGGCACCGTAAGAACAAGCTGAGCAGAGGACCGGTCTCTGGCGCGTGTCGCACACCCGCACGCTCCCGGGGTCAGTGGTTGGAATAAACCCAGGCTGTGTGCACGGCGGGGGCCAGAACTCCGCAGCTCGTGCTCCCAAAACACAGCCCCTGCTGCCGGAGCTGAAGGGGAACCCCCCGGAGCTGCACTCAGGCGTGCTAGTGAGCGGGCCCGGTCGCACGGCGTGTGTCTGCCAGTCTAGCCCACGGAGCTGAGTGCACGCGCACACACACGCATGCAGACACACACACACACACACAGCAGGGCCTGTCACAATGCCCTCCCCTGCCCAGCTTCGTTCTGGCCTTACCTAGGCAGGGGGCGTTGGGGCCGGATGGGCAGGAAGGTGGCGCCAGGGCAGGAAAGCCCCAGGAGACAGACAACGGAACCCAAGAGGAGCTGGAATCCGGGACCAACGCCAGCTCCCAGTTACACCAGTGTAACCTGAGCCCTGCACTGGGACAGGACACAGGATGGGGCCCCCCCCGGCTGTGAGGACGAAGGAGGCTGTTTGCTTGAGCGCCACATCGCCCTGCACTGTCCTCTGTTGCTGAGCCTGGATCCTGGGGTCTTGGTCCCCAACGGCTGGTGGGGCCTGGCCAAGGGAGGGCACTGCCATAGGGAAGGGGTGAAAACCGAGGGGCTGTGGTGGGTGCATCCGTGACAACACGTTCTCTTCAGCCACAGGGCAGGCAGGCTACAGTGCCACGGGGCACAGGGCAGCCCCATGGCGAAGAGCCGGGCATCCCCAGGCCAGAGCGGGCCAAGCTCGGGGCTCCAGGTTGGTCCAGCACAGGCTGGGGACAGGGAGGGCTTTAAGCTGTACCCCAGACCAGGCGGCTCCCCCATCGCGAACTCAACTTGTTCCAATACAGCAGGGTATGTGCCCGCGGGGCAGGCCAAGGCAGAAGCCAGGCCGCGAGCAGAGAGCCGGGGTCTGCCTGTGTCGACAGCTGCCACTAGCAGTGGTTGGTCTCGCAGGTTGGGCGCCAGCGCTGGGGAGTGGCAGCTGGGGGGCAGGACACACCGAGATCGCCCGGGGTCGGATGCAGCTCAGGGCATCTGGGCGGGAGCCGGGTAATGGGGAGATCCCGTGCAGCTGTGGCTGGGTGTGAACCCTGGCACACACCCACACCCACGCTGCAGTGACCTCCGTACGCACTCACTCCACTGTGACTGTCTGCCCACCCCCCGCCCCACCCGCTGGCTGCAGCCTGGCATCGCTAGCATAGCTCAGGGCCACTTCTCCAGCTGATGGAGGGGCCAGGCACAGCTCTCTCCCCACCAGGTCAGGCTGTGTTGAAAGCCGGCGTCCCCTGGCGCTGCAGCTCAGGGCCCTGTGTCGGAGCCAGCCCCTTCACGGCCACGGCGTCGTCGTTCTGCACAGACTAACGGGCTCCTGCTGAGAGACACAGACAAGGGCTTGTGTTACGGCGTTTGCACAGAATGTGCAGCAGGGTCCCCAGCCCCCTGCACCCCCTGAGCTGAGACATCCCCTGCATCCCCCAAGCTGAACGGGGACGCCCCTTGGCACCCCCTAAGCGGAGCAGGACACCCCCTGCCACTCAGTTCCGCCCGTAAAGCCAGCTGGGTTCTCCAGTTCCAGCTCCAGGGCCCGGTCTGGCCCCAGCCCCGCTCCTCAGGAGCCGGGTTCAGGCTGTGGCACCGGACGCCCTCCCACGTCAGCTCCTGGCCAAGTGCCTGCTAGTGCTGCACTGATACCAGCCTGCCCTCTGTGCACCGTCCCCGGTGCCTTTCCCTCTCCGTTATTTCTGTAGCCCCCCGGACACGGCCTTCCAAACCAGTCCCTCCCCCTGCCCGTGGGATGGGCCCCGGCGCCAGGAGGCTGGCAGAGGGCGCTGGGGTTGGGAAGCCGGCAGGGGTGGGTGGGAGAGAAGTCGATGGCCATGCCCACAGGGGTGTCAGGAAGTGGAGGGGAGACCCCTCTAGCATGCTGCCTTGCTGCGAGCAGTGGCCATGGCTGCTTGGCAGGTGGCACTCCGCCCGCCGATGCAGACGGCAGACAGTTATCAGATGCCCATCACTCAGGCAGCTCCGTGCCAGCCAAGGCCCCGCGCTCCTGGGAGGTGGCAGAAGTGATGTAAAAGAGCCCCTAAGCTTGCGGTCGCTACAGCTCCCCGGGCGGATGGGGGTGCTGTCCCCGGCGTCCCGGCTGAATTCCAGCAGGGGTGATTCCATCCCCCGCCCCGGGCTCTTGGAACTGGAATCTGCAATTGGGCTGCCCGGCCTGTCCCGAATGCCGAGCGGCGCGGCCCCGCTGCTAAAGGAGGCCAGGACCCAGGGCCTTGCTGAGTGCTTTGGGGGTGGTTCCTGGAGAGGTGGACATGCCCCCTCCCAATATCACTGACGGCCACCTGGCTTCGTCACAGGCTTCTGCGGGCAGGTCTCTGCTTTTGCCACCAGAGGGCGTCCTTCCGGGGCAGGGCGGAGACAGGTTGCTATGGGGAGCAGCTGAGGAGGGGGCCGTGGGTCCCTTGTTCCCACTTCTCAACAGCTCCTGACCCACTCCTGTACTCTGCCAGCTCCACCCACCTGCAGCGGGTGCCCTTCTCCCTTGCCCGCCCTCCACCAATGCCACCCCGAGCTGCCCACCCCGATTCCCTGCAGACGGGCTCCCCTTCCCACACCCTCAGCTCTCCAGGCAGGGACCAACCTGCCGAGACCCTCTGCAGTGCCCACACGGATCCTACCTGGGGCCGCGTGCCCAGCGCTGGAGCTGAGATGCCGTCCCGCGCTGAGCCACTGCCCGCTCCTCACCCCGCCGCCTCCCAGCTCTCTCCCACGCCAGGTTCCCCGTCTCTGTCTCTCGGTCTGGTGGGTCCCGGGGGCCGTGTCTGTAGCACAGGAAATGGGGGGCGCTGCAGAGGCAGCCCCCCCATTTGATTGCTGAGCAAATCACAGCTTCTGAAGAGAGGGGGTGAAATTCTCAAGCAAGTTGGGGGTGGAGGGGCTTGGGGTGACTACTTTGCATATGCTCATACCCAGCATGCCCCTGTGAACTCCCTGTAAGCAGGCAGTGGGTGCTGGAGGCTGGGCTCTGGGAATACACACAGGCATCAATGTGTTTGAGACACTTCAGTGCATGAAGGTTCCCCCATCCCAGACCCCAAATTGGTCCCTACACCCAGATCCAATTGTTTAACTGCTTTAAGGTGGTTCTGCTGTGCGGGGGAAAGATCTTTGCATGCACGGACCTCAATGTGCTCATCTCGGATACTGCATGCAGACCTGGTCACCCCATCGCACAAATGGTATCTGAGAATGGGGAAAGGTACAGAGAGGGCAACAAAAATAATTAGGGGAATGGAACAGCTTCCGTCTGAGGAGAGATTAAAAAGTCTGGGACTGTTCAGCTTGGAAAAGAGACGAGTAAGGGGGGATATGACAGAGGTCTGTAAAATCATGACTGGTGTGGAGAAAGTAAATCAGGAAGTGTTATTTACTCCTTCTCATAACACAAGAACCAGGGGTCACCCAAAGACATTACTAGGCAGCAGGTTTAAAACAAACAAAAGGAAGTATTTTTTCACACAACGCACAGTCAACCTGGGGAATTCATTGCCACAGGATGCTGTGAAGGCCAAGACTATAACAAGGTTCAAAAAAAGAACTAGATAAGTTCCTGGAGGACAGGTCCATCAACGGCTATTAGCCAGGATGAGCAGGAACGCAACCCCATGCTCTGGATATCCCTAAATCTCTGACTGCCAGAAGCTGGGAGTGGACAGCAGCAGATGGATAACTCGATAAATTGCCCAGTTCTGTTCATTCCCTCTGAAATACCTGGCATTGGCCACCGTCAGAAGATGGGACACTGGGCTAGATAGATGACCCAGCTTGGCCAAGCCCTGATCCTCGCCTGGGGTTTCCCAGGCCCTACCGAAATTCACATACTGACTAAACCCCAGCAGAAGCCAGGATACCTCGGCAGCGCACAGCCCGGCGTCAGGGGCAAAGCTGGGCCAGGTGGTTACTCAGAGCACGATTCCCCAGCACAGGTGTGAGGGGCATTTCTCTGGCTAACACCCCAGCCCTATCGCATCCTGCAACCCGCCTTGCTGGCCTGTTCCTTTGCAGCCTGGCTCCCTGCGAAGCACGGGCGCCCGATGTCTGGGACGATCCCAGTAGCTTGGCACCTCCGCTGACTGAACACAAAGATGCTCTTAAGCCAGCCAGCAGCTTCCAGGCCTCAGTGACAGGGCCCAGATCCTCCCAGGTATCTCTCCTCCGGACGCCAGGCCGGGGGGCACTCAGGGGCCAGTTGGGCTGTTTGTGTCCCTGGATACCTTTCTGCGTTTGCATGGTCCGTTGACCCCAGAGAGCAGCAGTTCTCATGGGTCCAGGGCAGGTCTCTCTCGCCAAGCCAGGGGGAGGGTGGGCCCATCTGGGTCTGACGGGCTTCAGGGGAGCAGGGCGGGAGCCTGCGAGGGCCGAGACGGGTGTTGAACCCAGCTAAGAAGCAGAGCGGGACCCCTAGGAGCCGAGCCGCCAGGTATAAAGGAGTGAGCCACACACGCCTCAGGAACTGGGCAAGGTCCTCGCAGGCCGGTGCCAACTCAACTCTCCCATCGCCCCATCTGCTGGCATCTCCAACACTCTCGGAGGAGTGAACCCGCACTAGGGATCCCTCCTGGAGCTGGCTGGGGCCACGTGCTCTGCCCAGGGCCATCAAACAGACTCAGCCCAGGCCGGAAGTGGCCGCTGGCCACCAGCTCAGGGCTGAGCCAGGCTAGGGCGAGGCGGCACAGAGCTGGGGTGGGGGGAGGTTCTGCGCCTCACCCCATCTGCACGCGCGTGATGAATTGCAGGGCCCCGTGACACACGTGGAGGGAGGAAAGAGCCGTGCAAGAATCGCACGCCTTGCAGCGCATCGCAGCGCATCGCTGCCCCTCGCCTGTCACCCCCAGGCTGAACCCAGCACCCCACCTCGGAGCAGCTCAAAGAGCCGCCAGATGGGGAACCCCCTCCCGCCATGGGAAATCCACCCCCCAAATCACCCCAAGGGCCAGGATGGGCGTCACAAAGTGCTTCTCTGCCAGGACAGACGCCAGGGCTCTGTAGGCCGATCCCTCACCACGCTGGGATGGGGATCCCTGCCCCACGCTGAGGGCACGGGGGGGGACTTCCTCCCCCCGGGCACCGGGAGCCAGGGAACGACAGCCCCTGGCGGGACAGGTGGAGGGAGACAGAAAATAATCCCACTGTAATTTGTTCAGACCCTGAGAACTGTCCCTAAAGTGCCACCCACATGATGGGCGGGGGAGGAGGGAGCCCCCCCTCATGGGAGAGGGGCTGGGTCACCCTGTGTGAGCAACGCAGCCACCCCGTGCCTGCTGGTCAAACCACTGGACCGCCCTGCCAGCCAGGTAGCCATAGACACCTCTCCCCCCACACCGCCACATGTGTCACAGGGCTCTGCACCCCTACACCTCCCCTGTCCTTGTGCACATCCCCCCTCCCATCCTCTGTGCTCACACACACACACTCCTCCCCGTCCTTGTGCACATCCCCTCTCCCATCCTCTGTGCACACACACACCTCCCGTCCTTGTGCACCCCGCATCCTTGTACACACACACACACACACACACTCAAGCTCCAAGGTTCTTCAGCAAACAAAACCACGCAGCAGGGCCCAGCTGTCGTCAGGCAGGCTGGCCTAGTGGTTCAAGCACTAAGTTGGGCCCCAGAAGCTCGGGGTTCAACTCCCTGGGTGAGTCACTCAGCCCCCCTCTGAACGGTGGGGATGGTGCTCCCGCTCTCCCCCTATTGGTCTGTCTCGTCTGCTTCGACCGGGCACTCTAGCGGGTAGGGACCGCCGGACTGTCTCCGCCCAGCCCCAGCACGACGGGGCCCCGATCTCAGCTGGGGCCGCTGGACACTGCTCTACCAGAACCAACCCCCCCCACTGGCAGCCGATGAAGTGCCAACGCCCCAGCGCTGGGCAAGCCCCTGGCAAGCGACGGCCAAAGCGTTCGGCCCCGACCTGGCGCTGGGGACGCTCCGTGAGAGCTTTCCCCACGGCCGCCTTCGTCACCTACCTCTTCTCAGCACCCAGGGGCCAGCTCCCGCCTCTCCACGGCCCGGCTGCCGCTCCCAGGGCTGGGGAGAGGCCTCGCCGGAGCGGTCCAATGCCGTGGTCCGAGGCCAGCGGCCGGGCAGGCGTCTCCTCCCGCCCCACCCTGACACAGCCGTATTGCTGGCTCCTCTTTCCGGATTGTCATCTTTTATCCATCACTAGATTTCCCATGTCTCTTTACAACAGGCTCCGGGCCCCGGCAGGAGGGATCCCGGCGCGCCGAGGCCCGGCCCAGCGGTTCGGTTCCGGAGGTAGTTTCCCGTGGGTTTGTGTAACACTGGTTGGTGGGGGGGGGACGGGGGCGGGGGATTGAATCCGACCGGCGTCCGGGGGCCCCTACACGGAGCTCTCGTCCAGCTTGTCCACCAGCTGCGTGTGTTTGCGCTTCTCCAGCAGCTTGCTCAGCTCCTCGGCGAAGGAGGTGTTGTAGAGGGGCGAGGGGCTGGGCTCCTCCTGCTGCTGCAGCAGCATGTAGCTGTTGCCGTTCATCTTGCGCACCATGTTGGGCAGGGCGGCGATGCCGTTGGTGAACTCGGCCGGGAGCGGCGGGGGCGGCGGCGGGGGCGCCAGGGGCGTCTCCCTGGCCGGGGACGCCGCCGTGGGGGCCTCCCCCGGGATGATCTGCAGGCAGCCGTCCTCCCGGCTCGGCTCCTCCTCCTCCCGGCCCCGGCCCAGGCAGTTGGCCGAGACCGTCTGCAGCTCCACCGAGGGGGCGCCCAGCACGTACCTGCCCTTGCGGCGCTGCAGGCAGGAGACGTGGAGCAGCACGGCGCTCAGCGCCAGGCAGAGCCCGCCCAGCACCGCGATCACCGCGATGTAGACGAACTTCACGTCGGGGGAGGCCAGGCGGTCGGTGTGGGGGGGCGGCGGGGCTCGGGGCGCCGGCTGCTCCTTGGGCGGCTCCGGCAGCACCGTCAGGGCGTAGGCGGCCAGCGGGGAGCGCAGGCCGTTCTCCTCCCCGTAGCAGCCGTAGTCGCCGCTGTGCTCCGGCAGGGTGTCCGTCACCAGCAGCCCGTCCACCCCCACCCGGAAGTGGGCCCGCCCGGCCGCCAGCCCGGCCGTGCCGTTCACCAGCCACGCGGCCCGCGCCAGGTTGGAGCGCTGCTCGCACGGCAGCAGCACGTCGTCGCCCCGCAGCACCGTCCGGTTCTTCTGCACGGGGGGCGCTGGGGGAGAGATGGGAGAGGGGGAGCTCAGCCAGCGCCCCACGGCCTGCGCCCCGTGCTGAGCCCAG